TTATATAAATAAATAAAAATGCCACATAGATTAATATACATATTTTAATTAAAAACATATAAATTTACCTTATTACCCTCATCCTCACCCTCACCCTCCCAATCCCTCTTCTTCCCCTTCTTTTTTTCTCTTTCTTTCTTTCGGGTTCGGTGGAAACCCAGCCTTGCTGGGTTCGTCGACCAGCCAAGGCTGGGTTCCGTCGAACCCAGCTTTGCTGGGTTCCGTCGAACCCAACTTTGCTGGGTTCGGTTGAAACCCAACCTTGCTGGGTTCGTGACCAGCCAAGGCTGGGTTCATCGGAACCCAGCAGATCTGGGTTTCGACGAACCCAGCCTTGCTGGGTTTGGTTGAAACCCAACCTTCAACCGAACCCAGCTTTGCTCGGAAAGCTTGGTTCTTGTTTTTTCGTTCTTCTTTCGACTTCCATTTCCAGTTGTTAATATATTTGGAGATTGATTTATAATTTGATTGCATTTTTGTTAGAATTTGATTAAAGTTTGATTGTATTTTTGTTGAAATTCGATTAGAGTTTGATTGGTATTGTTTATTGAAGGGTTATTTTGATTTGGTAAGATCTGCCAGGTTTGAGGTTTCAACGAAACCCAGTAGCTCAAGTTTCCTTGAGAAAAGAGAAGAAGAAGAAATGGGTGGGTTAAGATCGGTTTTGTGGGTTAAGATCGGTTTTGTAGATGGAGTGGAGATGAGAGAGCATTCATGGAAGAAGAAGAAATGGGTTAAGATCAATTTTGCAGATGGAGTGGAGATGCGAGAGCATTCAGAGAATAAGAAGAAATGGGTTAAGATCGATTTTGCAGATGAGAGACCAGTTTGCAGGCGAGAGACCAGTTTGCAGGCAACTGGAATCCATTGGAGGGGTTTTGCGTGAAGAAAATGAAGATGACATGTCATAAAAACAAAAAAGTCCAGATAAGCATCTTTTTAAGTTGTGCTCGCCATGTCATAAAAAAAATATAAAAAATGCCATGTGGCCGAGTTAACGGCCCAAATTGACAGAAGGATTAGCGGAGTGCATTTTGTATAGTTGAGGGATAAAAAAAGTACAAAAAATTGTTGAAGGACTAAAAATGTGTAACTCACTAAAGTTAAGGGACCAAATTTAGCATTTAACCTTTTTCCTTTTCTGTCTCTTTGTTTCTCTTTTTCTCAAAAGCAACTTTATTAAAGATTGACTATAAATGTTGTCTTTGGTCATTTTCTCTCTCTTTATTTCTCAAAAGAAACTTTGTCAGACTAAAAAAAAAAAAAGCAACTTTGTTATGGTTGACTAGA